GGGAAAAACAGGAGGATGGAGGAAAACAGAACAGGATGCCCCCCAGTCAAGCCCTGGGCCACATTCCGACCTGAGAAAACTATAGCTAAGGGCAGAGTCTGTTGCACATAGAAGTAAGTTCTCAGGGAGTTACATCTGCTGCCAGAAAGTCTAGTGCCACCACCTGATACACACACAAGGCAGAGGGATACTTGGGCCAACGACAAAATTACCCCATTCCCAGGATCCTGCAACAAGGACCTGCATCTCAGCATTTCTAGACACCTGCCCCCGGGCTGTCTCTTGTAACAAATACAGTCCATTTCCCTGTGGTGCAAGACTGTTCCCCAAAGCTTCTGGCCACCAGTACTGAGGGTGCGACCGCATTACGTCTGCTGTGATTCTACCCCAAATTTCCCTCAGCCTTTGGCTCAGCCATTCCAGTCCCAGTGCCTTGGCGCCCATTATTGCAACCCTGAACCCCAGTGTAACATGAGCCTTCCTCCAAAAGAAGGATGCTAAAGGATGCAGGGGCTGTCCACCTTCTTCCTGAGCCTTATACAAGCAATAGGCTCCATTAAAGCATTTTCTTATGAGTCAGTGTACCATGCTGTAATTTATCCCCTTCCCATTGCCCTTTCTGAGCCTCTTGACCATCTTCAGACAAACGCTAACTTCCATCAGCTGTTGTGTGGCTATTCCTGACATAAAGGAATGCTGACGCGACCCAGATGGAGAACCAGAGACAGACCAAGCAAGGATTCAACTTAATTCCAACTGGCTTAACCAATGAGTTTCTGGATGTCACAGGAGTATGGGTGAGGGGTTACACAAAAGGGCATGGATGATCCAAAGGAAGCTGAACTTGCTTCAACATCTTTCCATATCCCATCAATTCATGTTTAAACACAAACTTGTCCAAATCAAGTTCTAGAATACCTGCATTCAAATTTCTTTTTTCAGATCACTGAACTGAATTCTGGCTGATGTTACATGCAACCCCCTTGCATGATCCTTCTTGAGGGCAAACTTTACAAGTGTTCAGTATTTACCATTGGCAATAAAGTGAAATACACAAAGTATGTATGATGTTCACTTTTAAATATTTTCTCTGTAGCCATTCCAGCATGCACAGACAGTAACAGTGTTCTGTGACATCTCTCTTGAAGCCTCTTTAAGCAGATTTTTTACAGACAAATTTAAAAAGAAGCCAAACAATTAAGTTATTGATACAAATAATATTCCCATGGATTTAAACTTTTACAAGTTAATCAAGACTCAATTCATTAAGAAGAGATTTAACAACATTTTAAAGAGAAGCAGTATCACTTCCAGCAATTTACAAACCACACCTCAGGCTTCTCATCCTTTTCCTCAATTGAAAATTTTATTAATTAATTAATTAATTAAGTTATTGAAATATTCCCATGGATTTAAACTTTTACAAGTTAATCAAGACTCAATTCATTAAGAAGAGATTTAACAACATTTTAAAGAGAAGCAGTATCACTTCCAGCAATTTACAAACCACACCTCAGACCTCAGGCTGTCCCTTCACCCCCCTACTCTGCCTGTACCATGTAGTGATACTCCTGTACCCTTAGCAGGATTACACATTCACCTTCTTTTTCTTTATTCCTCCTCCAGAGCCTGCAGGATCACATTTGTGCTCACATTAGTGGAAAGGAGGGAACACAAAGGGTGTTTCAGGATCTCAGGACCCCAGTGCTTGGGAAAGCATGGTGAAGAGATGTAGACCGAGCAGGCAATGGGCAGCTTTATCTCTTTGCCTCTTCCAGGCACCTTTCACTTCCTGGACATCACTAAAGCACTGGTCCCTTCCAGATGATGACCGTGTCATTCAGGTCCTCATAGGAAGGTGGTATGGTGGCTGCAGCCTTGGGAAACTCCGGACCCTACTGCTGTGGATGGACCTGTGAGCTTTGCCGATGGTGAGCTGAGGCCTCCCAGGGTTAAAAAGGTACAGCTAGCCCTGTGAACCCAGAAGTGCACAAGTGCTCTCCTGTCTCCTCACACTGGTTACAATGAATTGAATTAGGGTGTGGTTTGTTGTCTGCTGTTCTATGCTGCTTCCTGTGAATTGAGCCTGTGAATTGCACCAGAGGCAGAAGTGCAAGGCTGTAGTGAGCACTGCATGCTTGCTAGAGGGGCACATTGCTGTGCTTGTAGGGGTGCAGAACATGAGTCTCCATGGGGATACTCAGCTGACATGTCTGCCTTAGTACACATCTCCAGAAATGGGATTTTTCTGAAATATGCAAGCCACCGTAAAGGCAGGAGGACAGTGCCCTTACAGGAGTTCTCTAAGTTTGCTATGTTTTCAAAGTACCTCTCGGTCTAATTGTGGATTCCCAGTAGCAAGTACTTGGGAAGGGAGAGAATTTAGATAGCATTCTTATATAAGAAGCCTCTTCCTCCACACTTGAACAGAGTTAGAACTTAGAGCCTGCTAAGCTCCCATATTCCCCCAGTATAAGTGCTTCAGGAAGGTTAGAGATACTCCTGGCAGTTCAAGAAATGGATCACAGGGTATCACCCTCACTCAAATGAGATTTGAGCAGTATTGTGCTTTGCTAAAGACTGGAAAGAGCTGCTCCATGCTATTGGCAATGTTAGTTCTGCGCTGAGCCATTTCATGTCTTTACTATGCAGAACTGTGTAATGGTTCAGATGCCCTTGAGACTCAAAGTTGTACACTGCAATGTTTTTTCTCATTGCTTAAATATGGTATGGGTCTCATAGTGTTGTCTGGTGGTTGAAAGCTGCTCTAGGCTGTATGAGGCTTAGTTCTAGCCACAGAGCCGAGGGAAGCAGGATACAATCAACTGACACTATTATCTCTCTTTCAACTTTGATATTTTTGATGACTGCCTCCCCTGTTGTGTGGTAAGTCTAGCTCTTGAGAGTCTCCAAGACTCTTAGGCAATCTCAATGCCCCAGAAAAGAATGATGCAAAATCCGTACCCTGAGATCTGATCCCCAGCTATAAATCTTCTTCTTGCACCTACCCAATGTCTGGGACTTGACAGCTTTGCCCTGTCAGAACCACTCTGCTCTTTGCCCACCACTTTCTCCATGACAGCACTCTGCCTATCTTCCCACACTATGGGCACACCAGCATAGCCTGATGGAGACACTTTTCTTTTGACCACAACACCAGTATCTGTCATACACACACATACAGATATTGTCCCCCGCTTCTGGAGAGAATAAAATCCAAAATAGACCCAGACTGTCTACTCTGCAGCCCTCTATGAGGGGAGACATTGCTAACTTCACTGCTCTTTGGGGGATCATGTTCTACTGTGTTACCTGTGACTTTCCCAAGGAGCCTGCGTGGTCTTCTCTGCCCATAAAGCTGCACAAGCCTGATCTCATCCAGGCTATACTCTACTGCCAGCAAGAGCAAATGAGACCACGGAGGAAGGCACTGATCCGACCTTTAAATGCAAACACCAAACTGTCTCCACATAAGTTTCATACACACTTCTTCCCCACCTTACCTGGAACCTGCACAATTTACACAGTTCCCTTGGGGTACAAGAAGGAAGTAACTGAACCCTGTCAAGGTTGTCTTTCTTATCAGGGATGTAGTTCTCGAGGGAACAGAGAAACATGATTTCCTGTTTTATTGATACGAATATCCAGCTTGGGACAAGACAGCCAAGTACAGACATTGGGGGTTATGAATAAAGACAAAGCATTTGAAATTGGATGTCCAGGGACCCAAAAAGTATGCAGCAATATAATCTGTTATGTAACTTTTTCTTGTACAATACCATTTTTGTGTAGGTTTTGTATACAGCCTTACGATCAAAAGCCTTGCCCTTTGCCTTCAACAATCTACCTGCATGTATCTGTCATTAAATCTGTGTGCCTACCCCATACTTCCTGTGTGCCCGTCTATGGATGCCTGTGTCTGCTTACGTGTGATCTGTGTGTGTCAGTGTGTGCCTGGTTACCTGCTGGGATTTGCATGCCTATCAGCCTGTTTACCTTTAAATAAATTTATACCTTGTCTGTTCGTGGTCCCTTGCAAAGGCTTCAACCATAACCTTACTTTCCTTGCATTGGATCTTGGAGCTCACAAGTTCCTTATGCCGTCATATACAGAGAGTCACCACTGCCCAGCTGTGGCCATCTTCGCTGTCATAGCCATCTAAGGTGGTTTCAGCAATTCTCAACCACTGGAATTGTTAAGGTTTTAAGCACTAGCATGTATAAATACACTGCGTTCATCTTCTGACTACAGGTGTATTGGGACCAGATACTTTTAGCTACTGATGCCTTATGTTGTCTGACATGATGGTCTACAACATGGATTTGTGAGCTAAAGTAAATCCTTTCTCCCTGAAATTGCTTCTGTCAGAGGGTTTTATCATAACTACAGGAAAGAAATGAAGAGACCCATCTTCCCCACCATCGTTCTCAGCTGCTTCTTTTCTATGAGGCACCAGAACCCAGCAAGTAGTCCTGTAGCTCTCTTGCTCTTCCTCATCCCACAAAGTTCTGATTCTATCTTTCCCCCTCTTCACCAGCTAACTCTGGATAAGTGTGCAGTTTTGTGTTCAAGGGTTTATTCTTAAAGTTATCATTCATTGTTTTTGCTACAAAGACCAAAGTTCAGACTCACTGCCTCTTAGTTCTGCCCAAATTGCCCTCCTGTGAGACTCTCTTCATGATGAAGGGCTGCTAAGACACAGTAGATACATCACAGACCGCCAAAGTCCCAGGTAAAGTGGTGCCAAGCACCTAGCATCCCACAGCAAAATGAAGATGAAGGTACCTACTGCCCATAAAGGCTGTGCAGGCAGCATGTCCCCTTGCTCTGATGAAAAGAAGTGGCCAACTTTGTATAAGGTCTGGACTATTGTTCTGGTGTGTTGTTGATGGGAAATTGAACAAAAATATTCTTTTTCCACGTGAAAGAGAGGGTACATGCAACACTTATATAGAGAAACCTGTACTTTATTGCTGATGTACATGAAGATCTAAGAGTGTCATGGCCAGCAAAGCGAGCCAAGGTGTTGCTGACAGAAGATGAACCCATTCTCAACTGTCTTCTGGAGATCAGAAACAGCGTTGGGCTCCATCTTAATCTTGACGCAGGCATGGTCTTGGGTACTAGGTGTCTCACTGCTGTGTAGTAATGCTTCCTGATTTTTCTTGTATTTCGCTCTCTTGTTTTTGAACCAAGACTGAAATCAGAAATGAAGTTATTTTCACATATTTAGCAGTTAACATTATAATGGAAAAACACATCATGTAACTTCATATGGAACTGACAGTCTCACCTTCATAGCAAAATAAAGTTTACATTTGCTCACATACTTTACAAAGCTGCAGGTATTACTCAACGTGGAGGATGTGCCTCCATTGTGGGAGAGCCTGGATTCCATCCCATCACTACAATAAACCATCAAACAAATTTGATGTGCATTCCTAACTCCAAAATAAGCAAAAATACCACCTAAGTTATAACAGCACACTCTTTTTTTCAGCTGTTTGAGAAGCACCTGACAGATTGAGGGTCTTCCTTTAAACAAACATTCAGTTGTCAGTTTTTGCCTTTTTCCACACTTAATGGGAATTTTTGTCAGTGGTTTGGCTTGGACCCATGATACAATGCTGGAAATTTTAAATTCAGAGCCATTGTTTTCTGAAGCATCTTATCAAATCCCTAAGGAAGATGCTAGGAGAACCACCTACTTGGACTATTTAGCATCCTTTTAAATTAAATGGGATTTAATAACTAGGAGTGTGTTATTTAGGTGAATTATCCTTTTTTTTCCTCAGATTTATCCACTCATGCCTTCAGCTATGTGTATATGCATAACATTTAGTTGCTCATTACAATGGAAACCTCTTGTCATGCTTCCCAGGAAACCACATATGCAGTTTCAAAACCCTGAGTTCCAACATGACTCCAGACAGAAGTCATCTGTAAAGGACTCTCCTGTCACAGAAAGTTGACCATCGATTATATAACAAATGCACATATGTGACATGTAAACAGACATATTGATATCTGTATATGCTGCATATAGACATACTTAAACCCAATTCCTTTTTCAAAGAATATAGAAGTTTCTTTGTTTTGGTTTTTCTTTACTAGATCCTGTTACTTTGCTTCCAATAATGGGAAAGGAACTATAGCTGTAGTTTACTTTCTCCATGTTCTACTTCCAAAGACCACAGAAGTCCAAATCTTGCTTGATAGCATAAAGCAGGCAAGGAAAAACACAGCAAATTCACGGCGTGTAAGACAAGGCCATGCAAGTCTAAAGCAGCTTTTAGATGGAATTCCTTGCCAACGTGCTCGTACTTGTTGACTGACCTTCACTTTGTGTTCATCGACATCAATGAGCTCAGCGAGCTGTTTCCTGTTGAGAGAAAGTGAGAAATGTTCAGTGTTTGCCACTAGGGGCAAATAAAGCATGCACTCTATATTTTCTGAGTGTTTTAAAATTTTCTATCCGTGTTCCCAATAGTAAATACACTTCCTTAATTCTTGCAAAGAGTATTGTATAGAAGTCTTATCTTGTCACAAAATTAAAGGTTGTTCTTAAGGACTCCCTAGTGGAGCTGCTTTGATTGCCTGGAGGGTAAAAGCTCTTGCTCCCAATCCTGCTGACCTGTTTTCTATCCCTGAGTCCCACGTGGTGGAAGGAAAGAGCCAATTCTTGCAAGATTTCCTCTGACCTCCACATGTTCCCTTGTTGTAGCAGGTACATTCCCACACACAAACACAAAGTAAATCAAACTGTAATAGCAGCACCCTAGTTATAAAATCTATCGATAATACACATTTTTGTATTTGTGTATCGGTATGTTCATTTTTGTCTGTGTAGATGTTTGTGTGAGTGTGAATGTGAGCATATGTGAGGGTATAAATGCTGGAGGACACGTGGGTTTCATGCCTCAGGAGACACCATCATGGTTTATTTTATTTGTCTTTTGAATTTGTATTTGGTGCATGTGCTTACATGTTTGAGAGACAGAGACACAGAGAGAGACACACAGAGAGAGGCACACAGAGAGAGATGGATCCATAAGCACTTTTGCCTGCTGAGTCACCTCCCTAGCCCCAACCGTTTTTTGTGATGCAGGGTCTCACTGGTTTGGAGCTTGCCAAGTAGGCTATGGTGGCTGTATAACAATCCCCAGTGATTGTTATCACCTCCCAAACACTGGGATTCCCTGTTGATGGTGATGTGAATTTTTCAGTCACAAGGGAAGAGAGTCAGTGGCTGCTCAAAGTAGTAAAGATTGAAATAATATAGAATCCAGCAATTCCATTTTTGATTATTCACCACGAAAGACTTAAAACCTGGATTTGAAGAGGGATTTGTCCACCTTGATACCCTGAAACAAAGAGCAATTCACATTGCCCGAAGCTAAAACCCACCCAGATATTCTTCCATAGATAGTGGTAAAAGTAAACCCAGGGCAGTTATGTAATGATGCCTTTGGATATAATTCAGCCTTGAGAAAGCAGAAATTCTGCCACATAGGAAAACAATGATGGGCTTTGAGGACATTATGGGTCCTTAGAAAAGAGTAGAGCCTGCATAATTTCCCTCATATGAGGTAGCTAAAGGAGTTAGATTCAGAGGATTGAAAAGTAGAATTGTGGTTGTCTAGGAAGACTACTTGGGAGAGCAAAGAGCATTTGTGTAATAAGGTCATAGTGTCTGTTTTGCAACACAAAGATACTTTGGAAAAACCTGGCCCCAAACTGTCCTCTTCACGTTGCTGAGATCTGCCCTTTTTTTTTTTAAAGACTTGGTTGAAACAGTGGCTTTTATGTTTCTGTGAGCATTTTGGTGGTTTGTTTTTCATCAAAATTGCATGGAAGTTTGACCTTGATTCTCACAAAGCATCTTTCCTCTCCCGACCAAAATTCCGCAGAAGACTTTGTGGTTTCAGGGCCAAGAGGGAAAGGAAGCCAAACTTCGTGGCTCAAAAAGGTAATCTCAGTTACTGAGGAGGCTGAGGCAGGAGTTCAAGAACTGGCCAGGGCAAAGTGTGAGTGCAAAGCCAGTCTGGGGAATTCATACTCTGTCTTAAGAATAAAAGTAAAATAGACTGGGATGTGGCTCAGAAGTAGAAAACTGATCTAGCATTTCTAGGGCTTTGGGGTTCAATGCCCAGAATACAATTAAAAAAAAAAAAAACCTAAAACTAAAAAACAGAGACTAGGAGAAAGTAAAGGAGCCCAAAGCCCTGAAAGACATAGTGGCTTTTGAACAAGCCATGTACATACCTTTTCTGCACATCAGGATGCTGATTTTCTTGGAAAACTCTTTCCAGTTCTCGCAGTTGCCCACACGTAAACGTGTGGCGTTTTATGCACCTCTTGTTCAGGGGCTGAGGAACTTCCCCAGACACGTTCCCAGGCTCCTTCTGTTTCCTCTGTTGAGACTCACGGTTTTTCTTTTGGGTGTTGTTTCTGTTTTTACGGTTGTAGCTGTCATCACCCATAAGACTCAGGTGGAAGTCACGGCCCAGCTTGTGCAGGGCACTTACAGGTCCTCCCAAGCGGCATGGGCGAGCTGCCTCAGCCCACATTTGCTCAGGTTCACTGTTAACTACTTCCTCGTAGAAGCCCACTCCATAATAGTCGAGGTCAAAGAAGTAATTGCACCCCATGGCCAGAGCTCTGCAGAAGGCACGCAAGTGGCTTCCAGAGAGGCTGTGTACCTTGGAACCTTCTAGAGAAGGTATCTGGATCTGGGTTTTTGGGGTTACAGGGTTACCCCAGGCTGCACATGCCCTCTCTTTGCACGCATGCGCCCTGTTTCCACAGCGACTATTGGCTTTTGGCTCACAGCTCTGGGTCGGGCTGGTTTAGCCATTCAAGGGATGGGATGTGCGCTTGAAGATGCGGACACACCCCACCCGGGCAGACATTTATTACCATAAGGAGGTGTAGCAAAATGAGCAGCTTGGAGCAGAATGTTGCCTTTAGGAAAGACGTTTGAGAAATGGACCCAAAGTTGGGTTTGAGCTGGAGTCTCCCTGGCTCAGAGCGAGGACTTAGAGACGGGCTGAGAATGGATGTTAAGGTGACTTGAAACTAGAGAATAGTGTAAAAAAAAGAGCTCAAACTGACCAAAGGAACATTGTGTTAACTCTGGGGAACTTCTCATGGCCCCATTTCCAATTTCGAGAGCCAGCATTCTCTATGCTGGGAATTATGTTCACATTAAAGTGTAGGGGCTTCTGCTCCATATATTGTTCAATGACACTGAATGCAGAATTGGCTTGATCACTCCAGGCACAGGAACCAGATCACTGGCTGGGTTTAAAGCATTCTTCCTGTTGAGATTCACTACATCAGAAACCCCACGATCTCTATGAGAACATCTAAATAGACCAGACTTTTTTATGCACTCTGTCAGAATCCATGTATAATATTCTGCCTGGGGGGTGAACACAGCCAAAAATGCTGATGCTTCATGGGATCCTGCCCTCTTCATGTTGCAGGGAAGATCAAAGCCTTCCAATGGAGACAGCATTAGAAAAACTCTCAAACACTAATATGCATATTAAAAAGTACATATGATAGACAACTAGGCAGTTAATTTGAAAGTTATCAGTCTGGTCTTAAGGACATAGCTCAGTGGTAGAGAATGCCAGCCTAGCATGAGTGAAGGCCTGTGTTTCAAGCCTAACACTGCAACAACAACAGCAACAACAACAAAAAAGATAGAACTCCACAGAAAAGGTGTTTCTATGTGTTGGGAAGGACTTCATCATTAAGAGTTTCTGAAATACTAAATGGAATCAATTTGTTCCACCATAGGGGATTTCTGTAACCTGGAGGACACACTATTAGCCTAGATTATATAGTGCTGCAGAACTAGTGGGTGATCAGGATGATGACAAAGCATAGTCCTATAAAAGTATCTGGTTTCAGAGGTGGGTAAATGGTTCAGTAGGTACAGTTCTTTTTCCAAAAGCCTGATGACCTGAATTCGGGCCCTCAGAATTTACATAAAAGTATCTGAAAGACAGCCCTGTGAGTAGAGATATCTTTATTCAAGTCGGTTGACCTGAGTTCAGTCCCCTGGATCCGCATTATGGAATAACTGACTCACTAAAGTTGTTCTCTGACTTCTACTCATGTGCTACAAAGTATACACACAGAAACAGAAACAGACAGACGGACACACACACACACACACACACACACAAAATGTAATATTTTTTTTTTAAATATACAAACAAAGGGGGCTGGAAAGATGGCTCAGTGGTTAAGAGCACTAACTGCTCTTGCAGAGGACCAGGGTTCAATTTCCAGCACCCACATGGTGGCTAATAGCCATCCATAGCTCCAGTTCCAGGGGATCCAATGGGACGCCTTCTTCTGACCTCTGAAGGCATTGCATGACACAGGTGCACTTACACACATACAGGTAATACACTCATACACACAGAATAAAAATAATAAATAAAAAATACTAGCATAGTATTTCAGACTCTGTAATCCCAGTGTGCCCCTACAGAGAGATGGGAGCAGAGACAGGGGAATCAGTGCAAACTCATGGGCCAGTTATGACTTACATAGCAATGAACAAAAGAGACCTCATCTCAAATAAGGTAGACAATCCAAGATTGTCCTCTGAAAAGACTAAATCTATACATCATAACCAAAGAAGAAGGAGAAAAATCTCAGGTAAATGACATTGACCAGACCTTCATTAAGATTATAGAAGAAACCTTCTTTAAATGAAAGAAAGCCATAACTATACAGATACAAGAAGCACACAGAACACCAATTAGAAGCAGAACAGGAACTACCCACAGCATATCATAGTAAAAACACTAATTGTACAGAACAAAGAGGGGGTACTGAAACCTCTAGAGTAAAACCACAAGTACAATCCATAGGAATTACAGATGACATTTTTTTCATGTAGATAGATCAATAGATAGATAGATAGATGATAGATAGATAGATAGAATCATTGAATTTTTGTGCATTTCATACAAAACACCTTAATCATCTTTATACACCCTTCCCCAATCTGTATCCCCCATAGTCCCTCCATGAGATTTCATGCATTTTGTCATATATGTTAAGGTCTATCAAGTCAACCTTTTGTACTCAGATGTCTCTCAGGGCCAGTTCATTCCCCTGTCAGCCTATCTAGAATCTCTCCCTTACAAACGATTAACTCTCCCTGGGCATGGTGGCACACACCTTAAATCCCAACACTCGGGAGGCAGAGGCAGGCGGATCTCTGTGAGTTCAAGGATGGCCTGGTCTACATAGTGAGTTCCAGGACAGCTGGGGCTACAGGGAGACCCTGTTTCAAAAAAGACAGAAAAAAAAAAAGATTAACTCTCTCTCACCCCGCAATAATCAGCTGCCAATAGTTTTTCAGATAAGGTTGGGGCTTGCTGCCCATTTCCCCAGTTGTATCCTGGGATTTTGCCTGATTGAGTTTTCATGGCTTATGTGCATTGCCGCCATTACAGCTGACTTTTCAATGTAAAATATGAAAGCCAGAAGAGCCTGGAGAAAATTATTTCAAGTTCAATATGATCATAGATGTCAACCCAGAATACTTTACCCAGCAAAACTGCCTATCATAATTGAAGGAGAAAGAAATTTCTTCCATTATACAAATAGGCTGAAAGAATTCATGTCCACCAAGCCAACCCTACAGAGAACACGTGAAGAAACACGAAGGACCGAAGAAAGGAATGTCCATACTCAAGAAGTTGCAGAAAGAAAAAAACATGACAGTATAAAGTACAGAAACACATAATAAGACTAACACAAACAGAAAATAAAATTATAATAACCAATTCACATCCTGCAATAATAACTCTAAATATCAATGGTCTTAAATCCTCAGTCAAAAGGCACAGACTAATTGAATGGTTTAAGAATAAAACCCATCTATTTGTTTTCTGCAAGAAACTCACCTTACTGTTAAGGATAAGACACTACCTTATATGAAAGGATGGAAAAATATTCCAAGAAAATAGCACTAAGAGACAAGCAGGAATTGCTATCTCAATATTTAACAAAATAGACTTCAAGTTCAAATTAATCACAAGAGATAAAGAATGTCACTACATTCTGATCAAGGGAACAATCAAACAAGAACACCCAGCAATAATAAAAATATATGTACCAAACTCTGGTTCACCCATTTTAATAAATCAGAACTATTGGACTTCAAGACACAGATAACTATAACTCAGTGATGGTAGGTGATGCAATACCCCATTTTCTCTGATTTTTTGGTTATCTGGCCAAAGAATAAGTAGAGAAACATCCATATTTAATGATATTATATATCAAATCGACCTAACAGAAATCTACAGAATATTCCACCGAAGCACAAGAGAATACACATTCTTCTCAGCAGTCCATGGAAATTTCACTAAAGTAGACAACATACTGGGTCACTAAACAAATCTCAACAAATACCAAAGAACTGAAATAATTCCATGTAGTCTATGAGACCACAATGCAGTAAAACTTAAAATCAACAGCAAAAGACTCTGTAGTATCTACACAAACTCATGGAGATTAAAAAACATATTCCTAAATGATGAATGAGTCAAAGAAGAAATTAAGAAAGAAATAAATTATTCCTGAAACTAAATGAAAATTTAACATGACACACTAAATGCAGTCCTAAAAGGGAAATTTGTAGCTCTAAGCACTGAGGGACATCTGGGTACAGTAACTTGACTCTACAGGCCTTAACATAAATGACAGAATGCATGAAATCCAGTGGGGAGGAAGGAGATATAAAGATAATTAAGATGATGGGTATGAAATACACAAAAAATCAATAAAAATGTACAAACATATAAATAAATGAAAAATCAGAAAGAGCACACATAAATGACTCAATGAATTGTGGCAGGAGGCACAAGATGCATGCAAACTTGGACAAAAACCCAACATAGAACTGGGGAAATGGACAGGAGGCCACAGAATCTAATAGGTCGTTCTTTGAAAAGATAAACAAGATAGACAGACCCTTAGCCCAAGCTAATCAAAATCAAGAAAGAGAAAATCAAATTTAACAAAACCAAAGACAAAATGGAAATTATTACAACAGACACCAAAAAGATCTAGAAAATTATAAGGGAATACTTTATAAACCTATACTCTATTAAATTTGAAAATCTAAAAGAAATAGGTGAATTTCTAAACTCAATGGATCCAATGAAGTTAAACCAAAGAGATCAGCAGCTTAAACACATCCTAAAAATAAGGAAATCGAAATAGTAATACAAATCGTCCCAAATGAAAAAAAGCCCAGTCCCAGAAGAATTCACAGCAGAATTTTACTAGATCTTAAATGAAGATCTACACCCAACACTACTTAAAGTATTCAAAATGATAGGAGCAGAACAAGAACTCCCAAACTCCTTCTAAGAAGCCAGTAACACTGCAATACCAAAGTCAGATAATGACACAATAAGAAAGAAAATGAAAGGCCCATATTCTTAATGAGCATAGACACAGAGATTCTGTATACAGACACACATCAAAACATCCTCCACCATGATCAAGTCGACTATTCCAGAGATGCAGAGATGGTTCAATATACATAAGTCAATAAATGCAAAGAATCATATAAATGGACTTAAGGACAAAAATCACATGGTCATTT